TTGGTTTTGGAGGCTGAACTCCTTTAAGCTCCAAGGTACAAAGTTTAAATTCATTAGTGTTCAAATCTAGATATCGGATTAGGCTGTTGTTTGTATTAGTTATGAATAGTCTCCTTGTAAAAATAATAAATAATAATTCTAACACTGAGCCTATTGCAATATACAGTACATCACAAGTAGTTCTAAAGGGATAACACACATGTTTGTCACCAGTTGGCCGTCTCCTGAGACGTTTAAAAGATCTTGATTTTGGTTTTGGTGACTGAACTCCTTTAAGCTCCAAGCAGAGTTGTTAATCCCGGATAGCGGAGCGGAGCGGCCGACCCCCGGGAATGGGAAAAGCGGGAATAGCGGGATTCTGGGATTCCGGATAGCGGGACAACTTTTTATATACTAATAATTATATAATAATCTATAAAACATATGTTATAAAACATATGTCATGCAATACTAAATTAATCCCACAACACTCATAAAATACTTATAAAATCTAATGTCAAACAAAGAACAATGCTTAATCAAGACTCAAAACATAAAGATTCAAAACATAAAGGTTCAAATGTCAAACAAAGAACAATGCTTAATCAAGACTTAAAACATAAAGATTCAAACATAAAGGTTCAAATGTCAAACATAGAAATCATATAGCATCATCAAAAAATTCCTCTTCCTCTTCATCTTCTTCTTCAATATATTCCTCCATTTCTTCATCTTGATCTTCAACTTCTTCAAAATCTTCCTCCAATTCTTCATCTTCAACTTCTTCAACATCTTCCATCACTTGTTGTTCCATTGTTGCTCTTGGTGCAATTGTTGCTCTTGGTGCCGTTGTTGCTTGAGAAGTACTTCCAACTTCATTTTGCCTTGTTGTCCTCCTAGTGTAGATTATAGGCTCATTAGCCCCACTAGCATCGGCAACTTGACTCCAAGTTAAATCATCATTTGGATGAACCAGGTCTTCACCATCATCTCCTACCTTTTCCATCTCTCCCACCAACCATTCGGTGTGGAAATTAATTTCATTAAATTCCATAGGATCAATTTTATCCCGAATTTCAAACCTCTCTACCAAAGCTTGATTATACTTGATAAACACCAAGTCTTGCAATCTTTGATGTTCCAATTTATTTCTCTTCTTAGAATGAATTTAAAATACAATAATTTGAAGTATTAATTTAATAATACTTGCATGTAAGATACTTTAAAATCCTAGTAAAAAATTAATACTCACATGCTCAAAGATGCTCCAATTACGCTCACATCTGGAAGCACTGCAACTCAAACTCAACACTTTAACAGCCAACAATTGCAACTCCAGAGTTTCGGCTCCATAAGACTTCCACCACTCGGCTGCAAGTAATTGTAAAAACTCATTCCATATACATAACACAAAGTGTATCACATGTAATTTAGCAAAAAATTATTTCATCTTACCTGGAGCTAATGTCGACCTTTGTCTAATTGCCGCTTTTATACCAAAGAGACCCGTAGCACCCCTGTATTGTGACAATTGTTCTGAAATCAAATCTTCCACTTCATAACTTTCACTAAGTGTCTCAATGCACTTACGGAGGCCTCTCACCAATCTACCATTTTTCTCAATTTCTGGTTTAGAATAATAATATTCTGGATTGAGATAGTGACCTGTAGAATGTAACGGATGATGAAGTTGACACTCCCATCTTTTATCAATGATTTCAAATACAGCTTTGTACTTGCTTGAATTTGAACTAAAAGCTTTCTCAATTGATTCTTTCGCTACTCCCATTGCGGCATATATGTATCCCATTGCAGGTTTCTTTTCATTATCAACCATTCTTAGCACATCTACAAGAGGCGCCATGCACTTAAGAGTGTAGAGAACATCATTCCAAAATGAAGCCGTAAGTATAGTAGTGGCTGCCCTTTGTCCTTTGGCATCTTTGGCACACTTGGAAGTCGTCCATTCTTCACAAAGAAACATCTCTCTAAGCTTGCCTTTTAGTTCTTGCATCCTTTGTAGACAAAGGAAATGGGTACCAAACCTTGTCACTCCTTGTCTAACCAATTCAACATTGTCGGTAGTCTTTCTCATTAGATTTAAAGCAAAAGTATGGTTATAAATGTAGCCCACAACCTTAACCCCTTTTTGTATAACCTTTTTAACCTTTCGAATTTTGCCCATGTCTTCTAACATAAGGTCTATACAATGGGCAGCACATGGAGTCCAAAACATGTGAGGCCTCTTCAAACACAATATTTTACCCGCCGCTACATAATTACTTCCATTGTCGGTAATCAATTGAACAACATTTTTTTCACCCATTTCCTCAATAAAAGTGTCCAACAATTCGGCTAGCTTTTCCCCCGTCTTGGCATAGTCTGATGCATCAACACTTCTCACAAACATGGTCCCCGCCGGACAATTGACCAAGAAATTAATCAATGTTCTACCTTTTCTATCTGTCCAACCATCCGACATAATTGAACATCCATATCTATTCCTTTGCACCTCTTGGTTTTTCAACAAATCTTTTGTATATTCCAATTCTTTCTGAAGGATTGGAACCCTGAGTTCATGATAACTTGGCGGTTTCAAATGAGGACCATAACTTCCAACGGCTTCCAACATCAACTTAAAAGCTCTTGCATGTGCTACGTTAAAAGCAACCCCACACGTATAAAAAAAGCGACCAATATATTGAATGGTTCTTGCCCTCGCTTCTTTATCACACGCATCGTTGATGCTTGTGTCCTTACTCTTCTTATACACCAAATCCAACGGTCCTTTAGTCTTCTTGAAAGCAATTGAAGAGCTCTCACTCTCCGCAATCCTCTTTCCGGTTTGAATTCTACGTATTTCCTCAATATCAATTGTATCATCCGCATCCAATTGCACTGAAATCTCTTGTATTCCTTTCTTAATTCTCTCTTTATCAACCATGTCAGCACGTAATATAGCCTTAACATGTCACCTTTCTTAATTCCTAATTGATGCCTTTTGGCTCTACTTATTCCCCCACTGCTGGTTAAATTGCAAAAATCACATGTCACCTTCTTCCTATCATTCAAATTCTTCAAATGATTGTATTTCCATCCTATGTCCTTACTATTGGTTGGTTTGAATGTTGGAGCACATGAAGCTACTGACGGTGTCGACGAAGAAGCTGCCATATTTTTCTAGAACATAAACAAAAAAAGTAAGGACTAGAATAGATAGAAAAAAAAGTAGAAACAGTACGTTGCTGGCTTGCTGGCTTACTGGAAAGGTGAAGAAGTATTAGAGTATATGGATTATGGCATAAGTATAGAAAGGGTACATTTACACATGGCATAAGTATAGAAAGGGCATGTGTCATTGCTGTGCTGAGTCAGCACAGTGGGGTTGGAGTATATTAACTCTACCCCCTTTCCAATTGTACCTTGCTGGCTTAGGAAAAAAAACTAGAAACGGTGAAACTGGAAAGCGTATCACATGTAAATAGAAGAAGTGTACCTTGCTGAATCAGAGTTGTACCTTGCTGATTGGCTAAGTAGAAGAAGAAGAGCGCTTGTTGGAAAGGTGAAACGGAAATGGTGAAGAGAGACGGCGACGAGAAACGGCGAAGAGAAAAGCTGGAAACAGGCAAGGAGAAAGGAGAAGAGACGGCAGAGAAAAGCTGGAAACAGTAGGAGACGGCAGAGAGAGGAACGGTAGGGCAAGGAGAAAGGAGAAGCGGAACAGTAGGGCAAGGAGAAGAAAAAGAAACGAACGGCAGAAAGAAAGAAACGTGAGTTATAACAAACTATTTTACATATTATCTTATAAAATAATAAGGGCAAAACAGTAATTTTGTTAAAAAAAAATTTTAAAAAAAAAAGAAAAACTGCAGATCTGCTCCGCCCGGGAAAAACCCGCGACGGGCGATCCGCTATGTCATGAAAAGCGGCCGCTATCCCATCTCCGCTACCGCCCCCATGTTAGCGCGCGGGAGGCCACCGCTCCGCTACGGAGCGCCGCTATAGCGGCCGCTACGGCCGCTTTTGACAACTCTGGCTCCAAGGTACAAAGTTTAAATTCATTAGTGTTCAAATCTAGATATCGGATTAGGCTGTTGTTTGTATCAGTTATGAATAGTCTCCTTGTAAAAATAATAAATAATAATTTTAATACTGAGCCTATCGCAATCTACAGTACATCACAAGTAGTTCTAAAGGGATAATGCACATGTTTGTCACCAGTTTCAAACAAAAAAATATTAACCGGATTTGATAGTCTTTAGGATAAAGGTCAATCCAAGGATAGAATTAAATTTTCAAATCTTAAACACAATTCGCATGTATTGTAAAATACTAATAACAATGATTCGTACATATATTCCTTGATATGCAACAAAACTGCATGATCAAATATTCGATGAACTAGAAAGTCATTTGACATCAGGACCAAAAATATCACAAACATAGGTTACTTGACATATTAGATTTAAAATGCTACCAGCAAAGTACACTTAACTAGTTATACTGGTGTGTTTTTAATCTGAAACTAATGAGAAAATAACATTGATTTACCCTTGGTTCTTTTTCCAACACAACATATAAATGTTGACATCAAAATCAATATTGGTTATTTACCTTGAATGCAGCGACATATCCCAGAAAGGTAGCCAGAACTAGGGGTGTGCATGGATCAATAACCAAACCAAATTGAACCATATATATGGTTTCGTTTGGATCTTAAAACTACTTCATTAAAACCGATTTATATTTTTAAAACCGATTTACAAGTGGATCGGTTCGGTTTTGAACCAGTTTCTCACAAAAACCAATTTTAAAAAATAAACAAATTTTAAACCGGTTTTAGTATATCATATATATTATTATTTCACTTGTACTTTTCATGCACGGTATAGAACATGCACAAGTTCCACCAATAAAACCAGAATGAAGTCTCTGCACATAAATATTTTAATAAAATGATCCATATTTTAAATGATGAAACTCAAACAAACTAATCAATAATTATGAAGACCGAAAAGAAACTAAACCAGTACAAATATAATGCATGTAAAAGAACACTGCAAACCACCAAAAACCCACAACAAAACTGAGATAATAGGAACGCAGTAAAAACAATATAATAACACGATTGAAAAACTTATTTTATGGTCATTTATTTGAAATGAATTAAACAGTGTTTCAAAATATACGAAGCTTATTTTTTTAGAAAGCATAAAATTTAATGAGAATGATATTTGGATACCCAATAACCAAATTTATGGGTTCCGGTTTACCATTTTTATTATAAATGGGTCACCAAATCCAGATTTTAGTATTTGAGTTGGGTTTTAAAAATTGAAACAATTTAGATATCAATTTGGTTATGGATAACCGGTTTTTTTGCACACCCCTAGCCAGAACAGGTGTATTGCAGGTGAGGCAGCTAATGCAAATGTAAGCCCAGCCAAATATGCTTGGACACCTAAAATAATAATTCATTTAAGTTACTTTACAACAACACAGTTCCAAATTTTACAGAATCTATTAAAAGTCTTAACATTATTAGTAGAGAGAAATAGCATATAAAAACTAAAAATCACATATAGATATAAAAGAAAAGATGTTCTAAAACTCCAACAGGCACTTGTAAATTTCATGTCAATGACACAAACACTTGTCAAATATCTACATGGGCTTCAGCATGAATTGTTTGTCTCAATACTACATAGAACCACATTCATATTGCTATAAAATTTAGGAACTTACACTATAATCACCACATTATTTTCAGATCCACTTGTTGGCCCAATAGTACATAATGAAGCCTACAAGTGAAATATAAAATGATCATAATCATAAGATACAGCACAACACATTATTAGCCTTCATTACATTTCTTCAAAATTCCATTAATATGATAACATACGCTACAACAATAAATTTGGATGATTGAATAAGCAATATATTTATAGTTATAAAAGCTTGTTGGTAACCACCTCAATTCCTTCAAATAGAAAAGTTATAACACTGATGTAAGGTTTGAGAAGGAACTTAGGGTTTGAGATGTAATTTAGGGTTTGAGAAGACAAACCTGTTAAGATTCGAATTGATGGTGGTTACTTTGACGGTGATTCGCAGTGACGGCGTGAGTGGCTGAGAGAAATGTTTTGACAGTGATTCTTCTTTGAGCGTGAGCGGTCTTTGACGGCGATTCTGAAAAAGAAGAGAATAGAAAACATAAAAAGTAGATTCAGATTCAACGCGAAAGATGCATTATAGATGACGACGGGTGAAATCACTGTCGTGAACTCTTTATCAGCGTGTAAAGGGTATGGGGGTGGCCACGGTAGATTCACCGTTGTGCATTATTATTTTATTATTTTTAATTTCAAAGGTATATATATTTGTGAGAAAGTTAAGTACGTGGCATAATTTCAAAAAGTTTATTTATAAAAATATTATTATTATTTATAAAAATATTATTATTATTATTATTATTATTATTATTATTATTATTATTATTATTATTATTATTATTATTATTTTATTTAATTATTGGAGAGGTGTATGGTTTTATAGGAATTAATTGGAGAAAGAAGGATATGTAACAACACCGTAAAATAATTTTAAATTGTTAACTAATCACAATCATGTTAAATGACAAATTTTACTGTAATTTTTAAATAAATTATATGATATAGCTAAGTGATGATTTTTTATTGGATGGCAGTGTAAGTCAACACAATATCTTTTAACTCAATTAGTTAACTATTAGGTGGACGACGATTGATGTACCGTCGTAAAATATAACTTAGGATAGTTTTTAAACCGTCGTGAACTGATTTTTAGGGCGGTAGTTATATAACCGTCGTTAAATATAATAATATTTTAAAAATGTAAGGACAGTAGGTGTATACCGTTGTGACACGCGTCTCTATATTAGAGTTACGATCGTTATTAAGTAACTGTCGCAAATTTTGTGTCGTAAAACGCTAATTTTTTTGTAGTGTTTTACTTTCTATCCTGTCACCAGCATAATCTGCATCACAAAACCCTGATAGCTTGTATTATGATGTTTTCTTATACATCAAGCCAAGGTTAAGAGTTTCATTCAGGTATTTTTAGGATTCTCTTAGCAGCAATTAAATGAGTTTCCCTTGGATCTAATTGAAAACGAGCAAAGAAACATATGCTGAACAGAATATCTTAACGAGAAGCAGCGAGATAAAGAAGATAGCTTATCATACCACGATAGAGCTTCTGACAACCCTTTGTACTTATGTCCTCTTTATGCAGAATACATGTGGGATGCATACGAGTCTTAGCAGGTTTACATTCTGACATGTAAAATTTATTCAGAAGTTCTTTTGTATATTTGTTCTGATGAATATAGGTAGCTTATGAGGTTTGATGAATTTGAACTCCCAGGAAATACTTCAATTCTTGTATTAAGCTCATTTTGAATTATGTCTGCGTTAGCTCAAAAAATTCTTTGCAAATAGAGGAATTAGCATAACCAAAAATTATATCGTCTACATAGATTTGACATATCATAAGATCATTTCCAAAATTTTTACAGAAGAGAGTAGTGTCCACTTTCCCTCTTGAGAAACCATTTCCACCAAAAAAGAGCCAAGTCTTTCATACCAAGCTCTAGGATCCTGTTTAAGACCGTACAGGGACTTTTTAAGTTTAAAAACATGTTCTGGTAGTTCAATGTTCTCAAAAACAGGAGGTTGGCGTACATATACTTCTTCAGAAATATATCCATTTAGAAATTCACTTTTGACATCCATTTGATATAGACGACGAATAGATTCTAATCTAGCGAATGGAGCAAAGGTTTTGTTATAGTCAATACCTTCTTTTGGATGTAACCTTGTGCAACCACATGAGTTCCAATCACATGAGTTCCTTTAAGCTTTGGTACCAAGTCCCATACATCCTTTTTGGAAAATTGATCCAATTCTTCTTGCATTTCCAGAATCCATTCATTTTCCTGGAGCACTTCATCACAAGATGTTGGTTCTACTAGAGACACTAATCCTAGAAGTCATTCCTCAGTCTTCTTAAATGTAGATCTTGTTCTGATAGATTCAATCTTATCTCCCAGAATCAGTTCTTTAGAAACTGTTAATCTCTGCTTTTGCCTTTTCTGAACAGGTGTGGTTTTTTGTGCTTGTGTTTTTTATAATTCATCATCTTGATTATTTTTGCTTATATTTTCATCTTCAGAACTCTTTGCATTTTCATCATAGCCTACTAGGATTATTTCTAGATCTGTGAAACTTTCACACAGCTTTGACTTTTCTGAGTTAAGCATATCATCAATCCTAACATGAATTGTTCTTCCATAGTCTTTGTTTCTGTATGGTATACTATGTAGCCTTTTGAGCGTTTTGAGTATCTCAACATAATATATTTTTGTGCTTTGGAATCAAACTTGTTCAGATTTCCTTTAGTGTTTAGAATAAAATAGGTGCACCTAAAAGGATAAAAGTAAGATATATTTGGTTTTCTTCCTTTGCACAACTCATATAAAGTCTTTTCTAGAATAGGTCTAATTGAGATTCTATTATGAATATAACATGTTGTATTTACAGCTTCTGCCCAGAAGTGCTTAGCAACACGTGTTTCATTGATCATGGTTATGGCTATTTCCTGTAAGGTCCTATTCTTCCTTTCTACAACTCCATTTTGTTGTAGAGTCCTATGACAGGAGAAATCATGAGATATGCCACTTGATGCAAATAATTCTTCAAAAATTTGTTTTCAAATCCAACTCCATAATCACTTCTGACTTTAACAATTTTAGAATTAAATTCATTTTGCACTTGTGAGCAAAAACTAGTGAACACAAAATTAGACTCATCTTGGTGCCTTAGGAATTTTACCCATGTTCAACGACTATAATCCTCTATGATGATAAGTCCATACTTCTTACCATTGACTGATGTTGTCTTAATAGGACCAAACAAGTTAATATGTAGAAGCTACAAAGGTCTGGAGGTAGAAATAACATTTTTTATTTTGAAAGAAGTTTTAGAAAACTTGCCTTTATGACATGCTTCACAAAGAGCATCTGAAGTAAACTTCAGCTTAGGTGGGCCTCTGACTAACTCAAGTTTAATTAGCTGAGATATCCTTCTTAAGCTAATATGGCCCAAGCATCTATGCCATATTTTTTACCGTGGTTTTTGGTAAACAACCGTTGATCCTCCAAAAAGGAAAGCCCTTTTGGTTACTCGCGGGATTGATCAGATTGATCCCAGAACATATGCTAATTTTTGTGTTGGTTTGATGTAAAAGTTAATATCTAGGAAGAACACACGTTCAACCGGGGAGTTGGTGTTTGTGGTTTTGGAAAGCAAATAGAAATGCAGATAAAATGCAGGAAACGTAAACTTTGCAAAAGTAGATCAAAGCAATGTAAATGATTTGATTAATAAAAGGTGGTGTTTCTAACGTACATTCTCAGTTATTCTTTCACACGCAGCGGGTACTTGAATAATGTTGAGTGACTAGTACAATAGATTGAACACCCCCAAAAAATCTACACAAACTTCCTATCTTTATACTAAAATTATGTAACTGTCGAGGGGTTGCGTTGCTCTAGGATGAAGACAAGTGTCCTCTGCATACCCCTCGACTTATATCTTCCTGCCACGTCGCTTTCCCTTAACTGCTAGGCGAACTGCATTTCCCTCCCTTCTTCAAATTCAAATATTCTTCGTCTTTGATGCTGACACGAGGGTTGTTCTTCTAGTCGAAGGTCACAGGACCTTTTCAGTCGAAGGATTGATGGCGATGTCTGGTCGAAGACCAATTTGTAACTCAAATATTTCTCTAAGTTTTTCCATCCGTCGAAGCATTTTCCAGCTTGGCTTCATTTGCTCTATTTTTGGCCCATAAGGCCAATTTATCGCGGTGTCGAATTTAAGAGCTAACAAATTACCCCCTAAGAATGTCTATTTCGATGTCGAGAGAAATAGTCATTCTTTGATATTCCTATTCGACACGTGTCTCTTTTTTGTCCACAAAGGCTTAACGTATACTTTTCGCCTTCCAACCGCTGCCACACTTAGAATCATCATTACTCTTTTCCTGAGACGTCATTTCAATCAGCCGTTACCATGCTGCCATGCTGGTCATTACTCCTAGAACCTAGGCAAGCATGTGAAACGTTTGCCATTTTTCTTCATTGGGCCTTTTTCTGCCCACTGTATTGAGCCAA